CCAAGGTGAAGTGGGGAACCTATAAATAGACAAAATAAATTATGTGCAATAACACAGTCCTGTTTAACGCTTATAGTTATTTGAAAAGACTCTCCTTGTCTTTCGTTGCTTAGAACGGTTGCATTCATTTTATCATGCAGCATGCGGAGTATCTGGATATACTTTTCCGCACACCTATAACCTTTGCCAATATCTTCTAAATAGCTTCTCTGTTGACCGAATGGAATGTTTGACTAAATCTATGAAGGCCATGTATAGAGGGCGATTTTGTTCACTGGATTTGCCTTGCACTGAAAATCATGTCAGCTATACCACGGTTGGGTCACTGAGAGATTATCTTCGACAGTTGGGATTAAACGATTTGAAAATATGTATTGTATATTCAAATCTAATTACAGCAGTATAGTGAAAGTCAAAAATAAGATTTTTCAGTCTCTACGAAGGTACTTGAAAACGTTTTAAAAACTACTCTGATACTTGTCATGTCATATTTGCGCATTACTAGTTAAATCAATAAATAATACATAAATGAAATAGGATTAAATCCCTAAAGCAGTTGAATTGCATTAAAATCTCTTTATAGTTCTTAATTCTTTAAAATTTGCGAAAAAAACAAAATGAGTTCAGTTTGAGTTATTTTTCATCAGGTAAAATAAGTGCACTGCTGTACCAATTTTTACATTGAAATGGTGTACCATTAAAAAAAAAATAATAATTAGTCATAAAATTTGAAACAGGTTTTATACCTGCCATGGGAAACAAATTGTAGATATTTTCAGGGAAGTCTTTACGGTAAGGATAATATAATTTGAGACAGAAATGTCCAATGTCTTAGGCCATTTAACACTGATGCAAGCCTGCACAGACGAAACCACTGCGAAGGTCCGATGAAGACAAATGATGGCTGCTGCAAAAGGGGCAACTCTCTGGACAAATAACCATGCTCTGGACAAGTGGCCATCATCTGATCTATATTCATTAGGCTCGAATTATAGGAAAAATGTTTTTTTTTTTTTTTTTATTAAATCCTACTCCAATCCCTGAAAACATAAAGTAGCGCTAGTTGAATCAGTAAGCCATCATCTAGACGAATTTTCAGATAATAAGAATGTCTTGATGCTGGACGGCACTGGTTTCTTGATTGATTTCCAAGAAAATTACCGTCTAGTAATTATTTACTTTGCCATTTAAATTACCAAAAGACGATGCAATGTAAATTAAATGATTCGTCAGAAAGTCTGCCCATTCGCCTCTCACTTATGCACATCTTATATTTCGTATTTTATTCAAAGGTGAAAAGAAAATCGAAGAAAATATCGTAGTGCGACAAAAGATCTGACACAATTTGTCACTCAATAGATCTATTGCAGCAGAGAAAAATTGTTCATACAAAAATTGTAGAAAACGGAATAAACGATTTACAACGGATTGAAGTAGAAAATTATTTGCATAAATTGTGCTCGGCCCCTCTAACTTCAATAGAGAAATATTAGGTGTATTCTTTCGATCTGAACAAACTGTTCGAAATCACTTGAGGTTTGTTTTAAACAATTTTCATCCGGATTTAAAACGATTTCATTGGCCCCAGCTGTTTTTTTTTACGCCTTATGAACAAACCTCATGTGATCACAATCAGTTTGTTCAGATCGAAAGAATACCAGGATTAGGTATCTTGTTTTTACGAATAAACTTAAAAGAAAAGGTGACAAATCAATCGAAATGGGGGGTTTTTCACTAAAGCAAGCCAACATCCAGTTTCTAACTAACTGCTTGAATTTAAATTGTCATAACAGCCCTTCTGGTTATAAAATGGTCTATTTTAATCTAAGGAAATTTTTTCTGTTCTAATCATTATTGAGGTATCAAAAAAAAATCATCATATTCTGCGCATCATTACTACGAAATTATTGAGTTAATTTCTCCCGAAATTATTTTCAGAAAATCAAAGTACTTAGATTCTATTGGCTGATACTCGAATTGACTAATTCCTAAACATGTAGTAAATTATCTTCCTCATTATTGAAAAGAAATTATTATTCTCACCTTGTGCTGTGCTGCAATGTGGAAAAAGTCTATTATATTGATTCCTTATTGACCTCTAAAGTATGGAAATTTTTCAAAAAAAAAGGATTTCAAGAAGTTATTTCTCCAGGAGCTCCGGATATAGAACATTGCATTCAACAAACTGCACGTTATTCTCAAAAAATAGGAATTATTCGTGATGGACAATTTTTTTGAAAAATATTTGCTTTTTTCGTAAGCCATTTTGGGAGCGAATGCAACCATTAGGCGGTTACACACGAACGTGGATGGCATATACGTGCATACATCAACGTGCAAACAACATCGTGCATGGCGCTTTTGTACAGACGCTCGCAAAAAACTATCAAAACTCCAGTCTTATTGCTACTCTTGCGTCTCTTGCTAATTGACGCTGAATTCCAACATCACTTGGAGTGTGTTAAGCGCGGCGTTTGGGCGACTTCTAGAGAGAGTCTTCAACAATCACATCAGCGCTGAGACCAAACTTCGCGTCTACAATGCAGTGTTGTAATACCAACACTTACATATGGCTGCGAAACATGGACCATCTACAAAGGACAAATAAAAAGCCAAGAAAAATACCACCAGCGCTGCCTAAGAAGGATCCTACGGATTAAATGGCAGGACCGACGAACGAACATTTAGAGGAGGCCAAAACAGCTAGCATGGAAGCCCTCATCATTAAGCACCAGCTGCGCTGGACAGGTCACCTCATCCGCATGCTGGAAACACGTCTTCCAGAACAGATGCTCTACAGTCAACTGAAAGAAAGAAATCGAAATCAGGGAGGTCAACAAAAACGCTACAAGGATGTTCTCAGGAACAATATGGTAGAGTGATGCATGGATATATACTAGCAACTGGGAGACGACGGCAATTGATAAGCCCTCATGGCGTCGAGTAGTCCACGACGGACCACAAACTTTTGAAGAACAGCGACACAGACACGAGACCAAAAAGAGGGACCGTAAGAAGGAGCGAGCTAACAGAGGAAGAGACAATGCTGCCAGAGACTGTGTGTGCCAATACTGTGGAAGAGTGTACGGCTCAGAGAATTGGTTTCTATACCCATCAGAAAACACACGCAAATCGAGGATAATATGAGTAGAGTAGAAGATAATCATATTCGGTATCGAGTGATCGCCTATGATCATGCGCTTAAACCGATATCTAATATTCAAATGATTTTTTGCAAATTTTGCTTTGCCCTTTTTGTCTGCTTGCTCTTACAAATCACGGGGCCAATTTATTTACCATAAACGTAGATGTATGGTGTATGTATAATCAAATTATTCATACGAAAATGTGTTTTCGTTCGGCTTATCAATATTTCGCCCACGTTCGCCGAATAATTTCCATATCAGAGGTCAAGACTGGACTGGACATAAAATTTTGATGGTCAAAATAGATAATGTATAATTAGATGCAATGCTCCTTGAGCCTAATTATTTTAATCTGATTTTAATAAATTATATATATATATCGTTTTGTGGATTTCTAACTTTGGCTTTTTTGAGGTCGGGAGGTAGTAAGAATTACTTTTTAAAATTTGTTTGATAAATTTGTCATCTTCATCGGGTCTCTGTAAAAAAATAATTCGAGAAACAGAGCGCTGGCACCTAATTTTTATTCCCTCTCACAAATTAATATTACTTTTTCTTCTAACAATATACTATCGCACCAAAATGTCAATAGGGATACTTAAAGCCAGAAAATTTCACATAGTATAATATGACGATGTCATAACAAAAAAATTAATAAAAACAGTTAAAACAGATTGTTCAACTGAGAATTTCGAGATAAAAGCTAACGCTTGATTTCATTTCAGATTGAACCTTTCAAATCAATCCTGTGTTTGTATCAGATTGGACTTTCTTATCCTACATTTGTCAGCTAACCTTACTTTTTGCTGTTATTATTTTTTGATTTGGCAAACTCATTTAGAAAGAGTTTGGTTTTGTGAATAATTTTTTGAAATGAGTTTTTCGCAAACTATGCCAATACAAAAAAGAAACATTTGTACTAGCGAAGAATTACGTTTCTTCCTCACCCTAAATCGAAGAGAACTAACACAAACCCCTATCAAATAGAGGAAATTAATGTATCAAGGAAGTAAAAAAATTAATCAATAGGCAGGTGTCAGGTTAAAGTCGCTTCTGTGAAAATGTATTCTTCATTTTTTGTGAAGATTAGACACCATTTCTGTCCCTTTCTAATGATTCTTTGCCACACGGAGAACGGAAATTTATTTCGCTTTATCTAATTTGGCTCACTCTGGGTCCTTATTCTTGAAACAGGGGAGCAGCGTTCCCAGGAGAACAAGTGTTCCGTCTTACTCAATGATATGCAACTGATAATAAAGGGTGTTCCAGTAAGAGGTTCCGAACGAAAGGCAAATTAGGAAACATTTTAATACTTTATAGCATTAAATAACATGATCGTTTACAATTATACGTGAAACACAATATCCAGCAAATGGCCACCGCGACTTCTCTCACAGCACACAACTCTTTTGCCAAAATTTTCGATTACATCTGTGCATATTTCCGGTGGTATCTCACGATTCACGAATAATGCGCCTAAACTCATCTTTCATACCACCGGAAACGTGCACAGATGTGATCGAAAATTTTGGCAAAAGAATTGTGTGCTGTGAGAGGAGTCGCGGTGGCCATTTGTTGGATATTGTGTTTCACGTATAATTGTAAATGATCATGTTACTTATTGCTATAAAGTATTGAATGTTTCCTAGTTTGCTTTTCGTTTTAATTGAAAAAAACATTCGGCACCCTTTATAAGGAACAAAGACGGAATACTCGTTCTCCTGCTTCAAGAATATGGACCCTGTTCGTTTTTGGATCGAATCGAAAAAGTGAATTTATCGATCAGATCCGGATTTCCCGAGATAAACGTACTTGGGTATATTGGAGTTCTAATCCATATTTATCCTTACTTACCGAAGGCTCCTGATCACTTTACGCCATTTTCGACTTACCTATAAAATAAAGATAATAATATTAATATTACAGGGGTTTAGTCTCGTAGGTATAACTGTTGTATATTGGATCATACTTGTAAAAAACATTATTGAATATTATAATATAGAATCAAAATGAACTGAATAATTGAAATATCTATTATTTCGGTTTTCCAAATTATATCAAATAACATTCATAAATTATTGTATAATTCTTAATATTCCGTATATATGTTACTGTAAATGCCCGAAATTCGGTAAAACCTAGGATAAGCGCGCTAAACCTAGGATTTACCAAAAGCAAGTGGTAAAAGCCCGAAAACTAGTTATTTTGCTTCCATTTCGGACTTTTACCGGACACAAACAGTAAATCTTAGGATTTATCATACTGCATTGGTAAAAGTACGAATACCACGGATACCTTACAGAAATCGATATCGTGAAATGATCATCGGTAAAATTTCAATGCCTAAAAATAAGATACTTTATAAATGAAACAAAAAGTCACAGCAAAACACTTTTTATTTTAATATTTTCAAATGTAAACAGAAATCATCAAAGTGGCCTTAAACGATATATATTAAAAAAAAAAACATTAATTCAGAACTCAGGTACATACTAATATTGCAAAAAGGCCAAAAAGTTGGTATAGTATTTCCAAACTCAATTGGAACAAGGTACCAACGGGTAGCTGACTGGTCACTGAAAATTTCTATAAGAAATGCACTGCCACTGGTCGATCACCAGTTATGATTTATGTTCACCTTTTTCCAGGGCCGTAGCTAGAGTCAAATTTGTGATAGGGCATGAAAAATTTGACATAGGACATGCACTACTTCCCCCCCTCCCCCTTAAATTTTTTATAGGTAAACAACATGAGGGTAATGACGCCGGAGGAAAATTTTTCAATAAACAACATCAGATAACATCTCTGGCAAGTAAACAAAATGGCGCGTTCAGGCAATAATTTTTGAGGGACCTCTTGTACTTGTACTACTTGTAAAATAACTGTATACCATACCAACTTACTCGATTTCAGGTCTATTCATTAGCTGTGGTCCAACCGACAGAACCAGTAATTTCCAATTGCCCACCTAATTTTCAATAAGTTGAACGCTGATCCTCAGATCCTACTTGACAAATGAATTGATTGACTGTAAATTACCGTTCTAGAATGGTTCTCATGTCGGTTGGAACAGTGCTGCCATCTACTCCTAAATTTCCTAGAGAAACCTCGGCACATGTGTTTTAAAGGTAGGGCATCATCATTTGAAAGATAGGACATTGCCCCCCCTGGCTACGGCCCTGCCTTGTTCCAATTGACTTTGGATAAACTTTACTTAAATATTAAAAAAAAAATCCTTTCATTTATTAAATGAAATAAATGAATTAAAATGTCCACTAATAGAAATATGTATTTATTTATTGGTACAGGGCAAACTTCCATGGCATTTAGAATTGCAGAGTATGTTAGAGGATCTGCACAAACATCTTTTGGTGAAACATGTTCGAATGCAATTGCATTTCTTAAATCCTTGGCTACTACATAACGACAATATTCGCACTGCACTTCTTACGCTAATTGCCTGAAATAGAACATCTCCAGGAAATTTTCTTACCGATTATCATTTCACGATATCGATTTTTTGTAACGTATCAGTGGTATTCGTACTTTTACCAATGCGGTGTGGTAAATCCTAAGATTTACTGTTTGTGTCCGGTAAAAGTCCGAAATGGAAGCAAAATAATTAGATTTCGGGCTTTTACTACTTGTTTTTGGTAAATCCTAGGTTTAGCGCGCTTATCCTAGGTTTTACCGAATTTCGGGCATTTACAGTATATTACATATATACTGGAAATTGCATTAACTATTTATAATTCCAATACCTAATAATACCTAAATAAAATGTATTTCCTAAATACGTACACCAAATATGTATAGGCAAATATTACATAACAATTAAATTATTCTAATATTGAAATACATATTTTATGTATATCTATTTTCAAATGATTCGATTGCATTAAAAAACTAATGACATCCATATTACGTATAACAAATTAATACATCCAAGTCCATTTAATGAACCATTGCAACCGTGTTTCCAAATTGGTTTCATAATTTCATCGAGTATATTTAATAAAAATTTGAATTTCTATTCAAAATTCAAGGCTGCAGCCTACCAGGAAGCTTACACACATTTTTCACCTTCTCATATTTTTTTTTTCCATATGAAACATCATATACATATCTATTGTTATTATTTATTATTTTATTTTAATGCATGCAACTGAGATTTTTTAAAAATAATGGCAATTTTTAATTACTTGATAAACAAAGTGAAGGCATCCCAAATATTCTCAGCTATAATATCCCTAGGACATTGGTAATGTTCAAGAAAATTTTATGTCATTCCAAAGAACGTTATTGGCTTAAGTCAAAATCAAAGGAGAAGAAGCCAGTGACGAAAAATGCGCAGGGACTCATTTTTAAATCTTTTCGCTGGCCTTCGCGCTGTGGCACTTGTTATAGAATATGAAAATAAGCGACACACCGCCACTGGCTTTTAGTGATGTCCAGTCTCAAGAGAAAGGAAAAGATGACCTACCAGTTTCGCGCAGGTTTGGATGTCGTGACTGGCTTCTTTTCCTTTGATTTTTACTCTACCACAGTGTGGTAGATCAACCGAGGTACCTACAGCTGACATAATTCTCAGGGCAATACAAATGCAAAATGCAAGAGAAATCCAGATAACAAAATCGCCCTCTATACATGGCATTCATAGATTTAATGAAACTACCTATTTAATTCGGTCACCAGAGAAGCTCTTTGGAAGGTTGGGTGTCCGGTGCCCGCCAAAGTACATCCAGATACTCCGCCTGCTGTATGATAATATAAATGCAACCGTCCTGAGCAACGATGAACAAGAAGAATCATTCCAAATAGCTATAGGCGTTAAACAGGGCTGTGTTATTGCACCCACTCTATTTCTTTATTTATAGGATCCATATTTCACCTTGTAGACTTGACGGCGGCTTATTGAACCTAAACAGGAGGAAGGTCTTCAGGCAATTATCAATGCATATTAAAAATCCTGAAAGCAGGTAGATACCAATATTTGATTCAAAAACTTTCTGAGACAACTTTAGCTGATTTATTTCCAAGTATAGGGCTATGGCATTTGAAGTTAATTAATCAAAACCTGTGGTGCCCTCAGGAAACACTTCATACACACCGCATCACAGATGCCATCATTACATCTAAGCATAAAATATGTTATACACTAGAGAAGCTTTGAGAATATAATCAAGTTGGCTCTACATATAGTCCAGGCTTAGAATTGATCCCATATTTTAATCATACAACGAATAAAATAATTTCCGGTTGATGCAGAGGATCTGGCATAAGTCTAAAATATAGGTAACTTAAATTGTCAGTTTAGCGATAGAATTGTTACAAATAATCTTGTAGAGGATGAAATTGCGTACAAAATTTAATTGAAACCAAGTACATTAAAGTCCGAACAATTTTTCAAATAAGCATTACACGAAAGAGAAATCCTGGTGAATTTCAAATGGAGAGTCTGCTGATTGATTAGTTGATCCAGTGCGCAATTTTTCAAATTACCATTGTATGAGAGAGAGAGAACAGAACAGATATGAAATGGATTTAAGTTCCTAAGTGTCTCCTGATTGATTAAATGATCCAGTGGAACTCAAAGAGCCATCCAGTACCTCAACTAAGTTTTCTGATTTTTCAGAAAAAAAATATTAATTTTTTTTGCTGTTCTTTTTTCTCATAGGAGAGAATTTACTTCGTTTACTGTATACACACAATACTAAATTGCTTCAGATAAATTTATGGATACTGGGGAGTTTTTTATCTTCTGTGCCTATTAGGCTAGAAATTTTTTCTTGTCCAACTGCTAATGATAAAGGTGCAAAGTAACGCCTCAACATGTGACCAGTGTGAAACTTGAGCTGGGTAAATTTTTGAGGATTTTGCCAAATAAAAAATAAAAAAATGATAGATATGACGCGTGATGTGGAGATATTGATCCAATTTGCAGCATTTTTCGTTTTGCCGAACCGTTGTTTGACAATATCTCCGCCGCGTCCAAAAAAGTGATATGTGCACTGGCTACATAAATAACTTTTCGGGATGTTGTCTAACCAGGTCCAGGAAGGCTACCATATATTTTTAACACCCAAAATATTTCATACGCTCTACGATCTGTGTTAGACCATGTCTATGGAACTAAAAAGGGGATATTCATATTATTTTCGCATATCTAGAGGATCGGTGATAGTTTGATCTTTTTCTCTTAGATGTTTAACATTTTCTCTCTGGAAATCTGTTTATAATAGTTGTACTTTTGTTGTGATCATTCAAATTTTTCGATTACTCAGCCTAAAGTTTTAAGGCTACAGGCTGTTGGTAATAATAGGTCCAACATACATATTTATCCCCAAGCTCACTTAAAACAATTTCTCGAAAAAAATTAAATAAATTAAAGGCGGACTAAAGTACTTAGGCTATTAGAAAAAAATCAACAATTCTGCAAAGTTAACTGGTAATAATAATACCTGACTGATGTACTGAGTTCTCCAATTATTAATCAAATGGAAGGAAGGCATTTTGAATAAAATAATTTGCTACCTACTCTATCCGGATAAAATAGTTCATTAGGACACACACCGTAGTTATGTATATAAAATCAGAAATGTGCAGGAAAAATTTTAAGCTAGTATTTTATAGTACATATTTACATTACAGTGCCCAGCTCTGTATCTTGATTACTAAAAAAACGTTTAGTTATGTTTTTTTTTTTTTTTTTAATTAAAAGTACGGATTATTCAATAACTGATTGTGATTTTAATTATCTTCCACGCGTGAATCTATCAATTTTACGTGGCCTTGCTTGACTATATCTGTACTTACTGACCCAGAGAAAAACGTTTATAAAATATGTTAAAAATCGGCCTGCACGTAGTTAAGGTCTTGTAAAAAGATTTTC